AAACAAACACACGACAATTGTTTACATCAGTATGCGACAAAATCAGTTCATCACAAGGAAGTTGGAATTGTTGGTGGACAGAAGAAATGATAATTATTATCGGTGTGGCTGCCACAGTCATTACTATTCTTCTAATTGCTGTCGGTGCATACTTTGGATGTCGACAATATCGGGCCAAGTAAGTTATATCCTCGATTTAACACACTTTTCTGATTGCAAACAAATCAATCATTTTTTTAGTGCCAAGCTTAAAGCACAAGGAAAACTTGCTGAACAAATGAATATCCCATTGAAAACTACAAAAGGAAAATTAACAACTGCTGATATTGGTCCACCAACAAATGTAAAAACACTTCACTCTAATGAAATTCCAACAACAACTGCCGATTCTATTGATAAACCTATTCAAAATGTTGAAAAACAAGGGACTGTTAAAAAATGGTTTTCAAATATCTTTTCAACACCGGAAAAACCTAAATTAACAACTAAAGATATTGGTCCACCGACTGATTTAAAAAAGAATGATGCATCAATTTATGATATTTTTGAACCACGACCACCGGAGCACAGAACTTTTATACCATCATCAGCACAACAACAATCAACAATGATCAATATGAACAATGAAAAACCAGTAGAAATATCAATAGTTGAAACACCAGTAATAGAAAAAATTGATACACTACATGTACAAAAACCACCAAAAGATAAAAAAACTGATAAAAAATTAGCAAATTTATTTGGTAGTATGACTGTCAGTGATACTCAAGCATCATCAACTCGACAAAGATCATCATCATCATCACCAACATCATCACCAGCAGCTGATAAAAGAGCAAAATATGAATCTTCATCATCACCATTTGCTTCAACTTCGAAATATGGACAATCTTCATCAAAATACGAATCGTCATCACCAATTGCTTCATCTTCGAAATATGGTCAATCTTCATCCAAATACGAATCATCATCATCATCATCATCACCATTTTCATCCAAATACGAATCATCATCAACATCATCATCACCACTCACATCATCGAAATTCGTGACACCATCATCATCAGCATCATCATCACCAACACAATCAAGATATGAACCACGATCAGAAAACAAAAGACAATTTTATCGAAAGTTTGCAGGACAACAATTAAAATTCGAAACATCATCATCATCAGATAACTCACCAGCATCATCACCCCAAGTAGCTAGAAAGAAAAAAAGATCAATACCATTAGAAACAACAACAACAACAACAACTGATAATCAATCACAACAACAACAACCATCACAATCTGATCAAATATCGATCAATTTAGTTAAAGATCCAACAAATACAAATAAAAATCTAACAAATTTAACAAATATTATTGTCAATTTGGATAAAATCAATATCGATCCTAATGTAAAAATGCCATAAGCCAAAATCTTAAAATGAAATTCCTGTAATGAATGTATAATTGTCATTCAATACTGAAATAATGTATAACTAATGTGTATTTAAAAAAAAAA